AAATTTGCAACTGCCACCATTTTATTCTATAGGGTCTTGGCTTTCAGAAAATATATAATATTTGGGGGTTTAAAGTAATTTTCAGGCCTAAAATGTGGAATATAACATGGATGCAAAAAAAAAAAAAGCCTCAGTCATGAAGGGGTTAAAAGTTTTTGCTGCAGAATCAGCTGGTCCCCTGATCACTGGCCCTGATATCCTGTTTCAGAGTGACTCCTTTCTCAAGCAGAGTACTATGCAGTCACCCATGTGTGTGCTAGTAAGTTATGTGCATCTCCACAAACACGTGCACACACAGCAAATCAAGTTACTCCCCTCCCCCCTGGCCCTCTTTCCGTCTCCTGTCTAGTAGATGAACAGTTGCTGGAGTCTGCTCTGTCCTTTGGGATCTTGTACTGGACAGGAAGTTCAGGGAAGCTGAGCTGAGAGACTTGGAAGCAGCTGTTTAGAAACATGATGATTGTAAGTGTTTGGGTAAAAATGTAAAGCCATGTTGTGCTGGACAATGTATATTTGTTTAATCTGGATTCTTTATTAGAAAAAGGTTTGAGAGGTTAATACTACTTTAAAGGGTTATTAAACCCTCAACGTTTTTTGCATATATCTACTGCTAGCAAGCAGTAGATATATGCAAAAACATTTTTAAAAAATCTTTTAAAAAGGGTTTAAACTTACCTTCGTCCTCGCTGCGCGCTCCCGTCCGAACATCTGCAGCTTCTGCAGACGAGGAGGGACGCAAGGTAAGTCTATGGAGCAGCGTGCATCCGCACAGACACCACCGTGGGACATCAGAGAAGAGGAGGACAGAGGAGTCAGCGCTGGATCAGAGACCCGCACCAGCGCTGGAGGGACAGCTGAAAAGGACAGTAAAGAAGATGATCGGATCAAGAGGCATCATTTAAGGTAAGTCCTTACAGCAGGATTGGGAAGGGGTAAAAAAAATTCTGACTTTAATGTCACTAAGTGCGCTGACAATTCAGCAATCATGTAGACTAGTAGGGAGGAGGCATTCACATGGTATTTCTATGAGAACATAAATTTTCTTTCTTATTGTGGGGAAAAAAAAGACATTTTGGCGAGACGCAACTAACTTCAGGGAGACAAGTGTACCAACATTTAATACCCTTAAATCATTGCATGACAGAAAGTTCCCTGCAGCAAATATTTTCATTCATTGCGAGGATTTGGACATGTTTAAGGGTGATTTTGTCCCTACCCTAATCCTCCTGTCATTTAAGCTGACTATCTCATGAGAAGGTGGGGTAAACGGTGGGACTGGGAGGAGCCACATTGTTCTGGGTAGAGATGTGCTGTGCCTCTTATGCAAATGTAGGAGAATAATGACTGACTTGGAGTCTATGACCTGTAAATGGTGCAGCCAGCAGAGATTAAACCAAGAGGTGATTGAGATCCTAGGTGCTTCTGCTATGCCTGCCCAGCAGCCAGGAGACCTATAGAAGCGACCACAAGACACATAGCCTTGCAAGTATGCATGCATACACGATTTTTAGTTTGCAATTGCAAAGTGTTTGCATGCAAAAAAAAATAGTTTTGCCTTTTAAATATGGAAAAATTTAAATTGGCCACTGGAGTTAGAACACATTTTTGAGATTCTATACATCAAGCCAATCATATGTATACCAAAGAAGACTTTGACAAGATTATACATACCCTGTAGGCTAAACATAATTTAGCCATAGGGAGAACCGAAATGCCCGGATAGCTTTTTTTTAGACTTCTAGCTGACCTAAATGTTTGTTGTAAAGGAAGTATAAAAATGTGAATTGTGCAAAGAATCAAGAAATGGTTTTCATATGCAGCGCTCATGAGAGAGATATGTTGTAGGTTTGTAAGTAGAAACCTAGAGTTAAGTCTGCAGATCAAGAACATAGGCCAGTCTCCCTGTGTGCGATGCACTCATTTGTTTTTAATGAATGCCTGGTCCCTCCATCTAACCCCCCCACCCCATTTCTACCTTCAGGGTGCTGTCAAATGTTTGAAATCACTTAAAACAAGTTTCATGGAAATGAGTTTGTGATTGCTCTGTTGGCCTGCAAGAGATATGGTGCTGGTTATCTACAGCTCTGGGTTTGGTTTATTCCATAACTAAGCCACAGAGCTGTCAGGACTCTGGGGAAGAGGTATTGCATGTAGGAATGCATAGATCAGGTCCCAGATGTGTGGTTCATGGACAAAGGAGCCGTCTGGATCTAGGAACTTGCAGTGGTTTACCTGTGTGTCAGTGATATTATTCCCCAAATGTTTTATAGCACTCCCTACACTTGCTATATTTGCTATCTTTGTGTATTGGTACCAGTTAAAACTAAAGTTAAAGTAGAACTGAAGTCAAAACTTTTTTTTTATAGTTTTAAATCGAGTAAGGGAGGGTTAACACCCCTGTCAGCTTTTGTTGCCGTCTGTGTCCCGTTGGGAAGTTTTCTCTTCACTTCCTGTTCAATAGCCACAACAGAAAGGTAGAAGAAAGCCCTTCAAAGGCAGGGAACTCCTTGGTGCTTAGCAGGGTTACCAGAACTAGTGTCCCCATTAGAAGATTACCCATCTATTCCTGTTGTGATGTCAGCCCAAAAATTGGGATTTCTATTCACTTTTAGTGGTACTGGTCACCAAATGGAGCGAGAATGAATCTCCCTAATGGGGAAAACAGGCAGGAATAAAAACCTGACCGGTGTTCTAATACCTCTCCATTCTATCCAAAAGGTTTTGACTTCAGTTGCTGTATTGACTGCCTGCTCCCAAACTGCAGTTGGGGTAGCCCCACTGCTAGGGTTAAAATTATTTCTGCCGAAGTTCTTCTTTAAGCAAGTAGAAAGCGGCTATTTTTTTTTTTTAAAGTTATGCAATGTGACTGGGAACATGTAACAAATATAAAATAGGTGTTATCCCAAATTGGCAACAAAACTGAAAATGTACTTTAATCCTAGTCACTGATGAAGAGTCTAGTCAAATGTGCCAAGGTACGGAAGTGGTTAGAAAATTGGGATTTGAGTTTAAAACTCCTATCTCTGGCCAGAATATTAATCCTTCATAATCTGCTGAGAATGGTTTCTTGTTCTTGAGTAGATCCCATCGCATCGCACTCCTGACTAGATGTAACCCAAGGTAATGGGTGATTGCTTAGATGACCGCAGATACCTCTGCAAATCAGAACAACGTAGTAGAAAGTAACTCGCACTCCAATAAGATTTTCTGTCAATCTTCTTTATTGACAAGAGATATGTCACATTGTATAGCGACGTTTCGGAACCGTATAGGTCCCTTCTTGTGACAAAAAAAGTGTCTGAGGAAGGGACCCATACGGTTCCGAAACGTCGCTATACAATGTGACATATCTCTTGTCAATAAAGAACATTGACAAAAAATCTTATTGAAGTGTGAGTCACTTTCTACTACGTAGCTTGTTGTACTGTCTTCACAGCACCTTTTTATCAGTTGCAGGTAGGTTGTGTAAGCTTTTAACAAAGCTTCTGGATGGGTGTGCCGCCTCTTGTCACAAGATTCCGTCCTCGGTAATCTTCATCAGATTTCCACAGATAAATGCTGGAGCTAGACCCTGCTTTGTGTGTGTTGTAAAGTAGCCACCGCTCCAAGTTCACGTCCATCATGGACTACAATCTCAGGTTTAGTTTACTCCTTTGTATTGAGATTGCAGCCCATCACTGGAATGACTTGAATGCATTTTTAAGATTTAACTCCTGAGTTCACTGTCACTTTAAGTGATTTAATGTTACACTCCACTCAAACATTACATTTTCTCAGAAACATTCTCAGAAATAAACCATGTAGACTGTGGTCTGTGTTCTCCTGATCTTTCTGCAGGTTTACAGATTTAAACATGGAAGAAGTGTATAGTGTATGTATGACTCTAGTTCTGTTCTTTCTAAGAACACTGTAGTTGCAGTAGGTCTCCAGCAACTTAATGTTATGGTTCAATAATGTTTTTCAGGTCTCCAAGAATTTGATGCCCTTCAAGATAATGAGGTCAGAGATTTCCGTGGTAAGATGAGAAAGATCAGCGAGGAAAAGATGCAGTCCATGCTTAATCTCAGCTGGATGGAATGGCTTAAATGCACCTTCCCTCCTGAACTGGAGCCAACCATCCAGGACAATATTCAGGACCGGCTGTATGGGGGAAACCTTGTGGTGGCTATTCACTTTGAGAACTGCCAGGTACAGAAATTTCCACTGACCTACCACCCACATTTCTTCTGAATGTACTTTATATGGAAATGTTTACCATTTGCATGCTGCAAACATTTCTCGGCTCAAGCTAATAAGATATGGCATTGCGGATTCCAAGGAAAAGAAGGAACATGAATGCCTTGAAGCCTTTTTAGTTCATTAACTCTTTCAGGGCAGTTAGTTTAGCGGACCATGTTTAGTATCATATGTATGCATCAGTTACCTTTTACAGTAAGTCTGACTCATTTTTCAGCTTGACATCCAGTCTGGAAGCTAGGAACGTGCACAGTTCTGCATTCTTAGCTGCAAGGGTTACTGTTTCCACAACATTTAAAAAGGCATATTGCAGTCACAAAGGGGTAAAAAAAGAACATAGACACAGGCAAATTTCCCTTCATACAGTGTAAGATGAGTCAGGTGTGAATGATAATGCACCTACACTAGGCATTTTGCAGCTTATTTTTTTTTCCTAGTTAAATGGCCATTTCGTCTGCACCACTGTGTGGCTGTGACGCAGCCTATATATTATTGAAGGTGCAAGCTATCACTGAGCAGCTCTTCTTGTACCTCGACCACCTCCTGATGATGCACTTGGTGTAATCCAGTAACCAGAGATGGGAGTGGACGCAATAGACCTCATGTTGATGATGCTCCTGATGGGCTTCTGTGAGGCTAGAAAATGAAGCATGCTTTAGCACTGTCACAGGAGTGGAGGTGCTCTGATGCTTCTAACCAATCATATTCTAAAGATTTTTATTAAAATTGTTACTTGTTGGCCAACTGTAGCCAAAACCTTTTATTTTGTCTTTCCTTCTTTGCCTGTGACCCATTTAGGGAGATCTGCCCTTATTCCCACTCTGAACCAAACATTATGGGCAATCTCTCTAACGGATTCAGAGAAAAACAATTTTTTTGTAAAGTGAGGCGGAGTTATAAAAAAAAAAAAAAAAAAAATAGAACAGATTTCTCCATCAACCCTTACGAGCATTGATCGAGGAATCCCCTGCTGTTTTCCTGGTAGCCGCTAGCTCCGTTTGGCTGAGAATTTTCCAACCATCTTCTTTGATCACCTGATCAAGGCATGCTGGGTGGAAGGTGCTGACAGCGGCACCCACGCAGCAAATTTCGTCTGGTTCATCAAGAATCAGACGAAATTCGAGCATGTATACCTGGCTTATAAATGTCTGACGTTGTTGTTGGCTTCTGTGTCCCTGTCCTTATGACCTCCACACTCCCAAATTTGTATATGGGCATTATAGGTAAAGCAAGTGAGGAAAAAATTCCCCCAATTTGGTTTCATATAGAAATAAAAATCTGACAGATTGTGACTTTTAACCACTCTATCCAAAACTAGATGGGGTTAGGTTTTTTCTCTATAAGGCTGCCCAACTTTAGATTTTAAATGTCTGCTTTGAGTGTGTATTAATGCTTGAAACCTTCATGCTTTGTCAGTTTTCTTTTTTTAGATGGGAGGGCGTGTTGATGAATAGTAGTAGTATTTTGCCCATCTCTCAGTCAAGAAATTGTGGGGTTTTTTTTTTTTATAAATGACACGAGTTCTCAGAAGGTTGTGGCAGTTTAGCTTGGCAGGTGCTTATTTTGGAACAGTTGGACCTATTAGAAAAATGATGTGTATTGAGGAATATTTCTTTATCGGATTCAGGTTGAGTATTACTATATTCATGCTATGGCTGCTGTTTCATCGGGACTTTATGAACTTCTTTTATTATACATTCCAATTAGGCCTTTTAATAAAATGTGCTATTTCTGTTTGTTCAGCTCACTCCTGCTGCAGAATATGTGTATTCATCTTTGTTTTTCTCTTCAGGATGTATTCAGCTTCCAAGTATCCCCAAACATAACCCCTCTAAAGCTGACTGAGCTGGCTATTCGTAAGCGCCTAACCATTCATGGTCGTGAGAATGAAGACGTGGATCCCGAGGATTATGTGCTGCAAATCATTGGGAGGTTGGAGTATGTGTTTAGTGATCACCCGCTGATACAGTTTCAGGTAAATATTTTAAAGTGTAGAATAATGTGGTACAATTTTGATATTTATCAGAACATCATAATAGCAGCTAGCTCACCTCTTTGATGACTATACAATCCTTACAAAAAGCATTTTGAAAGAGACATTTGGCAAGAGATGTGTAATCTGCTGACACCAGATACAGCAGGTGGAGCGGGCTCTGCCAAAATGAGCATACAATTTGAGAGGTTTTAAATGTGGACAGCAATACAGCCCACATCTTGTTTGTCACAACAGGTTACCTAGACTGGTAATATATATTAGTTTTGTGTATATTCTTTTTCGTTATTATAGTCAGGACGGAGTAAAGTATTGTACTGTGTTAGCCATCAATTAATGCACAACGTTTGGAGGTTAGGTGGCTAACTTAATTTATTAAAGATACAAGCTTTTGGGATGCCTTAGATCCCTCCTCCAGGCTTTATATAATTGTATAAAGCCTGATGAAGGGATCTAAGGCATTTGGAATGCTTGCATCTTTAAAGGAGAACTATGGGGGTCAGGGCTTTTCCCCATAGTTCTCCTTAGGGTAACGGGAGGACACAAACTAGCGTCCTCCCGTCACCCTAGGCTCAGTATACCGCGAGCTACAGCTTGCGGTATACTGAGACGCCGCAGCCGGAGCGGATCCCGTGAGTGACAGCTGGCTCTGCCTATCTAGAGGCAGAGCCAGCTGTACCCGCCCCCTCCCTCGTCCGTTCCGCCAGTCAGCGCTGGCGGATAGGAGCGGGGAGAGGGGAATCCAGCCCCTCCCCTGTCACGGCAGAGAGCCGTGACAGGATCGAGAGGTGAGCGAACCCGATATGTGTTCGCTCACCTCCCGATCTACTGAGCCGACCTGTGACAGTCTCATTGTCGCAGGCCGGCTAGAACTATGAGTTGAGTGAAAAGCACTCACCTCATAGTTCTCCTTTTAAGAACTTAAGTTAGCCAATAAAAGGTATTACTTAGACTCCAAACTTTCTATAAGGATGAAAACAATTGTTGGGTTTTTTTTTGTCATTTAGGTAAATTTGAAGTGTTGTATATGAATATTATCATGTTATCTTCTGGGTTTCAGTACATCAGGAACTGTGTAATGAACAAGACTCTCCCGCGACTCACACTTGTCGAGTGCTGCAACATTAAAAAGATGTTTGATCAAGAGATGAGTGCAATTGAGTTGGCTGTGAAAAGAAAAACCTCTGGGCCCCCTTTGCCGCTGCCTCCCAAAACACGTGGTGCCTCTGTGAGTTATTCAACTTTACTTTGAAGTGAAAGATCACCTTTATACCTCATTAATACTTCCCACGTGCTCCTGCATACTGTTTAGATGTGTACCTTTATATTAAAATATTGTTGTGGTTTCCTGTTGCCCTGCTCATCCAGCCCTTTCTCATCTCAAATGTTTTGCTAATCTGCCATACACCTCTCTTGTACTCCTTCCATTCAGAAGCATGTATCTGTCCTATTCCCTTCCCCTTTCCTCATATATCATTCCCAAATTTGAGATCGTTCACCGGACATTGTTGACCTAATAAATTATGAAGACCAATAAGTGTTTAGGTCCTCACTTAGTTCTCTCAATTTCCCATCAACTTCTCAGTCTCTTGAATTACTCATCTTCCTGGGAGAACTCTTCGTCTCTACTGTTTAGGACTCTCGAGTGCTGTCCTTACTGTATTTTCATTACATACAGAACATATTTGCAGAAATAAGAATAGCACTAGTGAGTGTTAACCAGCAGAGAGACAGTGGAGCCAATCAGAGAGAACCGGGTACGGACAAACCTAAATACTCACTGACCTTCATTATAACTCTGGTGGCTGATGACTCTCTGGTGCGGGTGCAGTGGCTGATGACTCTCTGGTGCGGGTGCAATGGCTGATGACTCTCTGGTGCGGGTGCAGTGGCTGATGACTCTCTGGTGCGGGTGCAGTGGCTGATGACTCTCTGGTGCGGGTGCAGTGGCTGATGA